GTGTATAAGGACATTCCACGTGTTTGAGTGAGACCAGAAGATATTGTAAGAAGTTCATTTAAAGATACCACTGACATTGAAAAGTCTGCTTTATCGACCTTGTACAAATTTGGCCTACCTTTCAGCATCCTCTTAACGAGATATTAATTTTTGAAGATCGGCGTATCCGTTCGCCTACCGCTGAATGCAAGCGCGCGGCGAGATATGACCGCCCCACCTCTGGGCCCTCTGGCAGTTGCTAGCCGGTAATTGACGAGCGATGAACATATATAAAGTATGTACTTAAACATATGTATATAAATTATAAAGTATCGGTCATCAAAACGCGTGCGCATGTAGCTATAAAGTATGCACACGTGACTACAGCGCATGCTCATGTGGCATACTTGGCAGACTGGCAGTTGGGTTAACCCCATGGGCTTAACTGGCTAGTGCATTTCAGCGGTATCTTAACCTAATAATTGTCAAGTTTAATTGATAAGTCTCTTTCCGAAAATACCACGTTTTTCTACCAGATTCTTTTGTTATGGAACAAAACACGTTGAATAAATATATTTTTATCAATATTGAAGGTGAAATCTGTATTCTAAATAATTAATTTTCTAAATAACTAATTTTTTTATAACTGTTTATAAATATAATATCTTTAATAGATTTTTTTACAAACTACAAATATAATGAATTCTATGCTAATTCTGTACTAATTTTTTGTTCTAATTTGTTATATTGCATATTTAGGATAATATTGCATTTTTAGGATAATGACATCGACTTTTTTACAAATGATGGAAAGATAACACAGTGTACATATATCTCTACCATACATTAAGAAACAATAAACAATTCAACTGTTTTTATAGAGTTTGAATCAATCAAATTAAAACAAGTAAAACTGAATAAAATGGATCTGCATAATCATTATTTACGTTTCTCGACAATGAATGTCTCACTTTTACAAATGGACAAATCCAAGAATAATATACATCATTTGATACAGTCTTACAATTATGAAATGACTAAAGAAGAATTAAATATAGAAAAATGTGAGTTCTGTCGACTGCTGTTATGTTATGAATATCAATGTGCCTTTCACAACATTGAGAAGAGCGATCGTAAAATATCCGTTGATGCGGAGAAACTTTTCTTTCCTGGTATAAAAATGATTTTTCCGCCAAGCTGTTCACGAAACACCACACAAATTTCACTCTTATGTGATATAGTCAATCTACAAATGATTCTTTATTGTGATATCAGCTCAGTCAAACAACATCTGCAGAATTTCCTTTACTCGAGTGACGCTTACATCGCAACTAACAATTCTAGAATTATGTATATGAAAATAATAGAATATCTTTTAGAATTTTTACGTTTGTACGAACTTCATATAACTAACGAGGAACACGAACAATTGAAAGACCTTAGTCATGTATACTTGGAGATTGTAAAGTCATGGCTAAAGATAAAGGAAGACTGTGAATGGAGATTGTTTGCTTTGATGTTTCCTAAGCTAGTAGAAGTATTTACACCTAAATATACCGCGTTTCCTCTGTGGGACCATCTTGTACACGAAACAAATGATTTAAAGGAATCCCTCACTGGCCTAAGTATTATGGCAGACATATGTCTTACATCGTCAAAATCAATGAATTATATACACTATGACATTTATTGTAAAAATACATTTTGGTTATTGATACTCAAGGGATTACGATCGCCCTTGCAACAATACCGCAAACAGGCTTTATACATAATGAAAAAAGCAGTTGATGCTATAAGTGAAGATATTAGATTAAATTTTGAAAAACAAGGCTTGGCAAAAGCACAAACTATACCATTTATTTGTAGTAAATCTTCATCAATGGATCATATTAAGGAAAATTTTTTCTTGCTATATGAAGTATTGGAAGAGAAACAAGAACATTTAATAACACCAGCTTTAATTCATGTAGATGCTCTTATAAAAGTACACGAAGAGCACGAAGTTTACAGCTGTTTCAACATTAGATGGCTGCAGTGCATTTTCGAGAAGATCTTACTGCACGAGAATATTCGTATTGCAAAGTGGGGTGTATTGCACGTTTGTAGATTAGGCAACGCCATATTTTGTGACGATCAGTTTAGATCGGAAGA